AATTTTGGTGATTCACGTTTAGTTTTTGATCCACTTTGGGTAAACATTTGTGTATGGTGTGAGGTAGGGAAACACTTCATCATGCTGCCTATGCATATCCAGTTGTCTCAGCACCATCTGGTGAAGAGATGATTCTTTCCTTATTGAATTGACTTGGCACCTTTATCAAAAATCACTTGTTCATAATTGTGAGGATTTATGTGTGGATTTTCAATTCTATCCCATTGACCTATATGTCTATCCTTATGCCAGTATCACACTGTCTTTATTACTGTAGGTTTATAGTAAGTTTTAATTACAGGAAGTGTGAGTTCTCCAACTTTGCTCCTCTTTAATCAAGAGGAGGCTATTCTGGTTCTCTTGAATTTCAATACTGATTGTAGAATCAGCTTGTCAATTTCTGCAAAGAAGCCACAGCTATAGGCATTTGAAAGACAGGGGTTCCCTCAAATCTGTAGATCAATGTGGGGAGTGTATCACCATCTTAATGATACAAAAATTTCCAATCCATGACATGGGATGTCTTTCCATTGACTTAGCTCTTTTTCAGTTTCTTTCAACAATACTTTATAGTTTTCAGAGTATAAGTTTTTTGGTTAAATTTATTTCTAAGTATTCTTTTTGACGATAGTTAATGGAATTGTTTTCTTACTTTCATTCTCTGATTGTTCAATGCAAGAATATAACACACAATAGATTTTCGTATGTTGATCTTATATCCCGTAACCTTGCTGAATTCATTAGTTCTAATAGCTTTTAGTGAATTCATTAGGATTTTCTATAGATAAGATCACATCATCTACAAAGAGAAATCGTTACTTCTTCCCTCCCAATCTGGACTAGCTGCCCTGACTAGAATCTCCAGTACAATGTTGAATAGAAGAGGCAAGAGCAGACAGTCTTGCCTTATTCCTGACCTTAGGGGGAAAGGATTCAGTCTTTCACAAGTATGATGTCAGCCATAGGGTTTTCATAAATGCCCTTTATCAGGTTAAGCTCCCTTCTATTACTAATTTGTTGAGTATTTTTATTATCATAAAAAGGTATTTAATTTTGTCAAATACTTTTTTCTACATCTATATGACTATATGGTTTTTGTCCTTTATTCTATTAATGTGGTCTATCATATTAATGCTCAGATATTAAACCAATTGTGAATTCCTAGAATATAGTGTATTTATACATGGTGTATACTCCTTTTTATATGCTGCTAGATTTGGTTTACTAGTATTTTGTTGATGACTTTTACATCTATACTCACAAGAGCTATTGGTCTGTACTTTCCATTTCTTGTGATGTCTTTATCCGGCTTTGGTATCAGGATAATACTGGCCTCAAAGAATGAATTGGTTAGCATCCGCTCCTTTGACTTTTCATATGGGTTTGAGAATTGGTATTAATTCTACCTTATGTTTGGTAGAATTTACCAGTGAGGCCATCTGGGCCTGAGCTTTTCGTTGTGAGTCACTTTTTAATTACCAATTCAATCTATCCAGGTTTTCTATTTCTTCAACTATCATTTTAACAGCCATTTATGGTCTGACAATCTCACTGTGGCACACGTGGTACCCTGTTCTTCAAATACTAAAGCTCATGACTTACCTAAACAACAATTCTTATATTGCTCATGGGGGAACTGAGGTTATGTGATTTTGAACAACGTGTCCAGATTTCAGGGAGCCAAGCCTAAACACAACTTAAATCCTAAACTCCCTCACCCCCCTTCTCAGATGCATTAATGTTGCTAGTATTTTCCCAATATTTACTCATAAGCAAATGTGGTAGACAGTGAACTGAGCAACGATGCCAAGGGCACTCTGGTTACAAGGAAACAAGAAACCAGAGAGACCATTTTGCCACTGCCTTGAGTGACCTGCTGAATTGTTCCACAGCACCTCCTGCCTGCTCCTTGCCCTCCTCGTCCAGCACATCTTCAACACACGACGTTTCCAAATTTTCAAAAGGTTCTATATTCGTCACCCTCTCCTTATGAGCTCAAAATAATAGAGCAAAATAAAGAGATTGCAGAGTCTCTGGAGTCAAACCCACTACCTGGGTGCCACTGACGAGTTTTTTTTTTAAACCTTTCTGTACTTCAGCTTCTTACCCATAATGTAGGGATAATAATAATATCTACCCCAAGGGGTTGTTAGGATAAATAGGTAAGACATGTAAAAGCACTTAAAACGATGGCTGACGCCTTCAAGTATGATGTCAAAGAAAACCATGCCGCTAACAAAACACATCTGACTTCACCCTCTAAGACAGTACCAGGTCATTGGGATGTAGAGAGGAGTAGACTTTCTCCACTCTCTGCACTGAGCATAAGCTCTGAGAACTGAAATTGCAGAGGAGATCACTCCGAGAATGAATATCTCCGTTCTCAAGGAAATCATCCTGGCATAAGGAAAAAACGGATGGGAGTTGGCAGAGCACCATAATTACAAGTGCAGCCTGTGGAATCAGGTGGACCAGTGTTCAAAACCTGGCTCCACCTTATACTGGCTGTCACCTTAGACAAGACACTTCTCCAGGCTTCTGTTTATGCATTGGTAAAATGGGAAGAATAATATTGACTATAAGGAGATTTGATGAGGATCAAAATAATAACTGCAAAGTACCTGGCACATAACAGCCACTGCAAAATAGAAACTGCTTTTATTCGTTTTTTTAAAATTTAGTTTTAATAAATAAATTTGTTTAATAAATAATAAGGAAACAATGACCTGACGTTGATCCAGGGGTTCTTCAACCTGGTTATGTATGGGACTCTCACCTGGAGATCTTTGAAAGAGTAAGGTTGCCCAGATTGCACCTAAGACAAACAGCATCAGGCTCTCTGACCTCGGGGCCTGGACATCAATAGTTTTAAATGCTCTCCAGGTAATTCCAAGTGCAGCTGGGAGTAAGGCAGAAAAGAAGTCCCGATTTTTACCATCTGAAACTAATTTTTTTTGATTAACATCTACTCTCCTTACAAAATGAGGCCCATCAGATCTGCCCTCTCAACCAGAATTACTCCTATCTGATGGAGAAATGGAAGCCAAAAGAGTCTGAACGATTTATTTCTGGGAGAAACAGGGAGCCACGTTTAAAACTCTAGTTAAGGGCTTCCCTGGTGGTGCAGTGGTTGGGAGTCCGCCTGCCAATGCAGGAGACGCGGGTTCGTGCCCCGGTCCGGGAGGATCCCACGTGCCGCGGAGCGGCTGGGCCCATGAGCCATGGCCGCTGGGCCTGCGCGTCCGGAGCCTGTGCTCCGCAACAGGAGAGGCCACAGCAGTGAGGCCCGCGTACCGCAAAAAAAAAAAAAAAAAACTCTAGTCAAGCCCTGAAGCCCACATCTCTTATTTAGATGTATTTCTAACTACCACCACTATTTCTTCAGCGGGACTGCAAACCTTCTCATGACATTCCCCTCATTAAAATCCTTTAATGCACTTACCCCCTTAAAATACTTAGAAACCCAGACTCCCCAACAGACACACCACCCTTCAGAACCTGCCCCACAATGTGCACGGTGAGGACGAGTCACCTACATTCAGGATGCTCTGCTGCCGGTCTAAACAGCCAAGCCACCAACTCGCCAAAGAGACGCTGCTCAGTCTCACAGGCCAGTTAACTTGCTCAAGAGGGAAGAGTGTTAGCAGCAAAGAATGCAATGTGAATGGCGGCCCTGGAACATGGCGAGACTGAGGGCCCTGTTTTTCTTTCTACCCTCATCTCTCCCTGACCCCCCTTTTCCCCCTCACATCCACTTTTCCTTCTCTAACTTTATCACCTTAACACATGGCTTTTCCCTCTGCACTGGTTCCTAATTCTGCAGATTGCAATGTCAATGTCACTTCCTGGAAGAAGTCTTTCCCAACCACTGTCCCCACCACCACCATCCCACCCCAGGTTAGATGCTCCTGCTGGGTCTTCCTATAGCCCCCTCTGGTGCACCCCCATCAGCACCCTCACTACTACATCAGCACCCCTGCTACTAAGTGCAAGGACTGTGCTGGTCTCGCTAATTCCCAGGGCCTGGCACCTTGAAAGTGCCTGAGGTCTGATGGACGGAAGAAGAGCCCAGAAGCAACGTGGAGAAGCAAGTCTATAACTGACCCACAACAAAGGTTCCTCTCCTAACTCAGGTCTCACTTTCTACTTCCTCTAAGCAGAACTCTGTGGGGAATGTGAAAAACTGTTGAATCTGGGTGTTGTATATACAATGATCTGTTCATCCAATTTTTTTATAAGTTTGAAATTTTTCATAAGGAACTTTTGGGGAGAAAAGTAAAGTAAGTTCTGCCTCCATTCCTAATCCTGCCTTTCTTGCTAAATATTATTTAGCAACAGGATACCCAGCAACAACGTGTCCTAATCATCTTCCCATTATCTGCTCTTAGGGCCGTTAGGCAGAGAGCGAGTACAGACCTGTTGCTAGTGTAAGACAGTACTTAAGAACACTCAGGGTCAGCTAACAACAAGAAGCTCCTGCCAACAGCCAGATACTGGGTTTCAACAAAATGCTGAGATTTCATCAATTTCTTTTTACAGCCTTTCCTAGAGGAGAGGAGACTTGCTGTGCAGTCCTCTGAGAAGAGGAGGAAGAAGGGGATGCTGGCAAGGGGGAGCAGCTGCAGAAGAGAGCTCAGCAGTGATACAGGATGTCAGGGAAGTGGGGGTACAAAAATTCAGCTTGCTCTGTGCTGGCCTAGGCACACCAACCAGCCACGCATGCTCAAGCCTAGGGGCTCCCAATGTGCACAAGAGAGCACACTGTTAATACTAAAGAAAAAGCCCCCATTCGCGAGAGCCATTCCCAAGACTGTGCACCATAAACAGCTCTATCTAGAAAAAACCCTGACAGAGACATTAACTCTTGAAGTTCAGCAGGTGAAGAAAATAGAACCAAACCCCTCACTTTCTTTCCCCTCTGTTTCCTCTTGAACAACATTCCTAAGGCAAAGGGCTGTGACGTCAGGGCAGCTGACCTAAGCTCTGACACTTGCCATTACCTCTTGCTGCTTCTCCTCATTGGGATACGTGTCTACAAATACTCCCAGCCCCACAAATTTGTCCATGTTTCCAAACACAGGCCCTAGAGAAAGAGAACAGATGATGAACAGTGAAATAAAGCCAAGAGTTGATAAAGGAATAATACATCACTATGATAGAGGAAAAAGTGAAATTCAAAAGACTCCCCAGCCTCTCCTTAAGATGAGGAAACAGCTGTAAAAGCACCCAGTGAAGGGCACGGCCTGTAACAAGCACCCAGTAAGCACCTGCAGTTCTTTGTCATTAAAGGCGGGGAAAGAGAGAAGGCCAGCACCACCCTGTTTAGCACCCCAGTTGCTCCCTGATCCAGACTGGTTGCTAAGGCACCCCTAAAGAATTCTGCTTCACAAACACTTGGTGACGACTACAGCCCTGAGAGAACTGAATTCCCAAGTTTCCACTTCTTGTTGCGGAAGAGATCAGGTCAAATCAGGCTGGGTTTTGCCACAACTCGGAGCAACGGCTCCCGCACAACAAGAAAAAGTAGATAACTCTTCTTTCTCCTGACGCAGGAGTTCTGAGATCGGTCACTATGCATATGCCCAGAAGAAACCAGAGCGCCCAACGTCAGTGTTCGGGACAGGCAGTGCTTTCCTCTGGCCAACGGGCCGGGAGGTTTCAAAGGGAAAGTGAAAGTTACCAATTAGCAAGAAATCACCCCGGGCTGAGTCAAGTTCAGCTGCTTTTAGGACTCAGACCCCATTCTAGAGACTAGACAGGCCAGTCTTTATCTACAGACATCAAGGGAGAGGGAAAACTGCTGGCACTGTAGAGACGCGCGCCCTTCTCAAAAAGAGGGCACACAAAAAAGCAGGCCTGTCACACACCCCACAAGAGCAACCCAGGGTCCCAGTACCTGGCTGCATCCGATCCTTCGTGTACCAGATCGCCAAGCCGTCCCCGTGCAGGTTCTTCTTCCCTTGTCCGTGGATTCTGAAGTGCACCTGCAACTCCCAGTCTCTCAGGAAACATGGCTGAAGTGAAAAAGACCCTAGAATCAGTGAGGAACATGAAACACGAAGTCCTCAGGCCCTCATCCACAGTCTACAGACTCGGAAAACACAAACGCAGGTGACGTGTGGCTAAGGGGTGAAACCGAGATCTAGGACTTGCTAAGTGTTCATGTGGTAAAATTAAACAGATTGAGCCATTCAACTGTATATGATATTTAATATGAAAAGTAAATAAACCTCCCCATTATCTTCACCATCTCCCAACAGAAACAGGATAGCACTCCAAAGTTGGAAAAGACAAGAGAACTTCGTGTTAGAGCACTGTGATCCTACATCCACCCAGCAAAGGATCTCAGCCTACAGAGCAGAGGTGGCTGATTAATTAACACTCATCTGCAACTTAAGATCACCCCGCTGACAGAAAGACTCTAAAAAGCTTGGATTTCAAGAAGGGTCAAAGCCCCATTCATTACAAAAGAAAAAGATAAGATAAGTCATTCCGCAAAGGTCTCCAGAAATAATTAGCAGATGCTATAAACAACTTTAATTGGCTAGACTTTGCCCTATGCCAAGCTGAGGGGCACCCCAGAGTTCCCTTGAGAAGGGGTAAGCTATGCCCCCACCAACCTCAGGCCCACGGCCAAGCAGCACAAATGCACCAAAGGAGAACACCACCATCCCCAGCACAGGGACAGTCTCTGGTGGAAAAACATTTAAGGAGGTGGTTACCAAACAGACTCTTGTTTTTCTTCTTTTGAATTATGTATCAAAACCTTGGAAAAATGGAGAAGGAAGTAAGTGGATGGTTAAGTGTTCTAAATAGCTGAACACTTTCAACCACTTTCAACCTACTTTCAAACCAGAGTGGGCATTTGATTTACAGAGGCTCCTGGTTAAAGTTCACCGCGAAGAAAGAAGGGAAGGAAGAGCAGATAGACCAGTGGGGTTCAGCCAAAGGCCCTCCAAATAGATTGTTCTGGGGAATTCCCTGGCGGTCCAGTCGTTAGAGGACTCCGCACTTTTGCTGCCAAGGGCCCGGGTTCAATCCCTGGTCAGGGAGCTAAGATCCCACCGCCCTCGTGGCGTGGCCAAAAAAAAAAAAAAAAAAGATTGTTCTGGCTCTTGAGCAACATATTGCTAGATTATTTTCAGTTTTCATTTTTAATTTCTGGGAAGTCTTCCGAAAGTGTTAGTATTAGGAGTACACAGTCAAAAATAAAAGGGGTATGGATACTCCTGAGTTCACCAAACAACCCTGAAATCTCCAATAGCTTTTCCTCCTCTGATGAGCCCAATCCCTGTGTTGTCATTCACGGTTCTCATCTTTCTGCTATTTCATTTAGATTTCATATCAAGAGTGAAATTCAGTGGCAGGAAGCTGCCCCATAGCCAATGGGTAGGTATGATGCCCCTGGAAAGAGGGCAGGGCCAGAGAAGTTCACACTGAGCCAAGAGGTGTCTGCCATTTATCCTTGGCCTTGTGTAGCGCAATGCTATACAGTTTTGCTCAGGGCTATGTCTAACAGTGGGTCTCAAACTTTGCTGCATATTAGATTCACCTAAGGAGCTTTTAAAAATCCCAGTATCTAAGCTGCACCCCATTCCAATTATTTCAGAATCTCTGGGGGTGGGACCCAGCCACCAATTCCAATGGACGGCCAAATTTGAGAACTGCTCAAACAAATCCATCCTATTCAAATAACTCAGAAACAATACCAAAGCTCATTCTGAGAGTCAAATAACAAAAAATACAGGTATCAGAGAATCTGAAAAAGAGCAAGATAACTAGATCCTACACTAGAATCACTGCTACATAAAAGGGTTACGTAGAGACAGCTAGCAAGACAGCAGCAAAGTCTTGGACACAATCATTTACAATCCATAGACCAGTATCAGTGAACCTTGTAACAGAGGTGTAACAAACAACAGCACATTTCTATAACCATTTTAACTTTCCAAAGCCTTTTCATGTCTATTGCCTTATTTTATTCTCACAATAATCCTGGTGGGCAAGTAGAACAGATATTATGAAGCTCATTTAACAGTTAGAGAAACTGCAAAGTGAGAGAGGATAAATACCGGCCAGGGCTCACAGTGGGTCTGTGATACAGCTAGACTGAGAACCCAAGTCTTTCAACTACCAGCCCTTCACCTCTTCTACCAGAACACACTGCCCTGCATTCTGTCCAAGACTGAGTTCAGCACTGCAATCTGGGATAAGGGGCCAGCTTGTGCAAACAGCTCCACGTAGAAACTTCTCATCCCACTGCTCCTTTAGAATTCTCTGCCACACAAAATGAACAGGGGAAATAAATCATTTCCTTTTCTGAGATTCACTTGTCTACAACTAACGATAAAAACCATGTACAAGTAAGTTCTTAGCTTCTACGAACCCACGAGAAAGTGTTAAAGGATGCCAAGGTCATTCCTGGAGGTGGTCATAAAAGATTGAGAAAGAGCCCTGGAAACCGAAAAGAAAGCATCATCTTACACTTGTACAAAATCACAGTGCAGCCACACCAGGAATACTGCATTCACTTCTCGCCGCCATACCTCAAGGAAGACAATGTAGCTAGAAAAGGCCCAGAGAAGGACAAATAAAATGACCAAGGGCTCAAAGTGGCTTTTACACGAAAATAAAATTTAAAATTCGACTCAAAGGCAAATAACAAGGGTGGGGGGTGTTACTGGGATGAAGCTTGAGATAAATTTAAAAGAGCAGTCTTCTATTTCATAAAGCAAAGTAACTAAACATGAGTTAACTTAACCTGCAAAATAACACTATCAGGTCAATCAGGAATTAAAGACTGCTATTTTCCTATTTTCAGAAAACAGAATCAAAATTGATTATTCGCCATACTTAGGGCAACAGAGCATCTCCCTAAATATCTGATTTCATTATGAAGGTCATGATAATCTCTGAAATGAAAATCCTTGATATCCACAGAAGACAGAATACTGGGATAGACAGTGAAATTAAGTCAGTATGCCACTGGTGAACTTTTTAGTACTTTCTGGGTCAGCCACACAGGAGGGAGAAAGATTCTTACCACCCGGTTCCACAGGGCACCCTGTTTACTTTGCATATCTGGGGTAAGGCGGATATACTGGGTCATCACCATGGCATTGCCCATCAGATTCCACAGGGAGGAACTGCTTGTGCCTACACCTACGGAGAGGAAGTAGGTCAGTTCATTCTCTTCAACACCAACCCGTTCGGAAAGCCACCATGGGCCCTCCAAAAGCTGGAGTCATCACCGTTTTTTCCTCTTTCATGTCACTCGATCTCCCATCTTCTGTCACTCATAACATCTCAACTCTTTACCATCTTTACAGTTTCCTTTCACAAAGACTTTCTCAGGTGAAGACCCCAGAGCACATCAGAGCTGTCACTTTATCCATGCCACAGGAGCCACAGCTCAGATCCATTCTTCCCCATTTTGTATGTGAGTAAATTTTAGCACCATGAAATAAAAAATTTCCCCAGTTATACCAAAAGAGCTTGACCCTTTGGGGCTCTGGGGCTTAATCACATTCTTTCTTTGAACAATCCAAGTGTGAATCTACTTTTCTCCTTACTTCAGACTATCAGCCCCTTGAGAGTGAGAACTTGTCTGTATAACCCACAGTATTAGCAACGAGAAGGCACTGGATGCATCTGCTAAGTAAATAATCACCCTTAGCAGCAGTGTATACACTCTTGCACTTCGTGTTTTTGTTTGTTTGCTGTCCCCATATCTTCCAGTGGGGAAACAGACTTGTGTTAATTAAGCCATCTACACTGATTTGGTCTTCTTTGTAGCTAACCGTGTAAATTTTCTGGTTGATAAGCTGTGCCTAGCGGCCTACGAACACTAAACAGAGCAAAGCTAACCAGCCATCTTTCATCTCCTGGACTGGAGAAGAACACGTGTCTTAAGTGACAACAGAATTTTATCTTCTCAGTCCGGCCAAGTTCTACCCTACCTCTGCCGCCTGCTTTATTTCTAGGACATCCACAGCTCCATCCGGAGCCCGGCTCATTGCTCGTGGCCCTCAATCACTCCCATCGGTCGCAGTTCTCTCCCCTTCCCACATTCTTCCTGTCCAACTCTAAGCTCCCCTTCCTCCAGGCCCGGCGCTAGCGGCTTCGACCTGCTGGAAACTCCCAGGGCTAACTCCGGGGTCGAGGGGAGGGTAAACGGGCCCCTGCCCTTCGTACCCGTGGCTCCCAAACACAGCGAGAGCCCCCGGTGCCCCCACCCACAGCCGGCAGCATCCTCGGGGCCATGAAGCCCTTCACCGCCCCCGCCTCTACGGACAAGCTCAGGTCCGGAAGCTCTCCCCATGCACGACCACCTCGCCCCCGGCGCCTCACCCTGGTAGGGCTTCGACAGCGAGTGCTCCCGTTTCAAGTACTCGAACGTTTGACCCGCCCCGACTTGCCGTGGCCCCTGCCCAGACCCCAACAAAAGAAGAAGGAGCAACATCCTGGACCCATCCCGAGCCGACAAACGCCGCCGACACAGCTGCCACCACCCAGAGGGTTCCAGGGCCGCCGCCATCTTTCCCACTGCCTTCCCTTCATCGAAAGCCCGCCCCGTCGGCCAAGCCATTGGCCCATGGAACCACCTGCTTCACGTCCTATTGGCTCTTGTCGAGTCCCCGCCCCCACAGGTGAGCATTTCACCGATTGGCTGGCTTGAGTACCAGTTTGCCTTGCCAACTCAGGAAAGGGGCGTGGCCGAATGCCTGGATTCCCTTATTTGCATTTGTCCTGAGTGCCACTAGGCCTGCTGGGATACGTAGTGATTTCCATTTCGTCTATACATTCTAGAGTAAATTTAAAGAGATAAAATGTTTCTTCCAGTTCCACGCGAACGTTCTAGCCTCTCAGCCATAGTACCCACCTGACCGTGCGGATCTATCAACTGATCTATAGAACTGAAGGGAGAAATAGACAACTTCACAACTCCAGCAGTTGGAAAATTATCAGGAAAATTATCAAATTTATAAAAGACTTGAAGAGCACTATCAAACAACTTGATCTGATGACAGTTATTGAAATTCCAGCCAACAACAGCAGAAGACACATTTTCTTCGGGTGCAAAAGAAGCATTTCCCAAGATAATCTGAACCCCAAAACCCAAACCTGCACAAATTTAAAAGAATTGAAAGCACATAAAGGATGTTCTCCTATCATTACAGTATTAGACTAGAAATCAATAACAGAAAGATTTCTGAGAAATCTCCAAATGTTTGGAAATTTAACTTCTAAATTACTCGTGAGGGAGTAGGAGGCACTGGGCGACTTCAGCGGGTCCTCTGAGAAATGGAACAGAGTAATCAATCCTTTACCTGTTGGCGCAATAATACATCCGGGCCCCGAAGCCAAAAAAGTGAGATTCATCCCAGCTTCCATTCTCTTTCTCAGCAATTCCACCACCGAAAGAGTAAATAATCATGTCTTGATGGTTTTATCCCTAACTATTTCTCAAAGCCATCACATCCTTTCCATCCCTCCCTTTGTCTTTCCCCTGAACCACAACAAGTGTCCCAACTGTTGTTCTGGCCACCATTATCCACATGGCCATCCAAGTGATCTAAACCATCTACCCATGCACTTTCCTGAGTGTCAGGGTTAAATAAGTCCATATGGGTAAAGCTCTTACTTCTTAGAGTAGTGTCTGCCATGTAGTAAGCACTACAGTATCAGCAGCCTCACCATCATTAACAGAGCCTGGTATGGTTCACCATCACCTGTGGGGAAGAGATTCAGGCCCCTCAGCCTAGCACACAAAGCCATCTGCCATCTGGCCCACAGCCCCCTTCCTTGTCTATATGCTCCAGTTTCCCCTGTTCCCTCTCCTTTGCCCCAGCCCACTTTCTCCTGGAGGCCTTCCCTGACTCCCTCAGCCAGCAGGCAATGCCCCACTCTGAGCTCTCAGTGTTCCCAAGCACATTTCTTACACAGTACTTGCCAGCTCTGTGTCTCTGTCTTCCCAATAGACTTGACCAAAGTTATATCCTTCTTTCCTGAGCATAAATATATTTAATAGGAAATATATGACTATGAGCCTGTTTTATGGGGGATCAAACTTTTTAAAATTAAAGCTGTCACAGCTATTGGTCTTTTACACACTCCACACAAGGCAGATGACTGGTGATAAGACATTAGGGATTGAATACATCTATCCGTGTCATACCTTGGCTTTAAAACCATGCATGCCTCCCAATTACCACAGGATAAAATCCAAACTCCTTAGTGTAACATTCAAGGCCCTGCTCAGCCTGAGTCAAATCAGGCTGTACACATGTCTATCACAATGTGTGTCATTCTGAATTATGGTGCTCAATTAGCAGATTATATGTTTGTTTCCCCAGCAAGTCTGAGAGCTCCTGGACCACAGGGAGCAGATCTTACTCATTTCCTGTCCCAGGCCCCACCCACTTCCCCACTCCCTAACCCATCACCCAGCACATAGTAGGGATTCTCATTGTTTTGAATAAAATTATTTTCATTGTATTTCTCTATCAGCTGGAATTTTTTTACTGTGGTAAAATATACATAACATAAAGTTTACCATTTTAAGTATACAGTTCAGAGGCATTAAGTATATTCATATTGTTGTGCAGCCTGTGAGCTTGATATTTGGTAGATTATGTCAGGAGATGTCTCATTATGAAACTCATTACAATGAATAAAAAGGGAATAAAAGAGAAGGGTGTAAAAGACAAAATGCACAGGACAATAAATCAGACTGTTGCAACAGGAAGAATGATCACTAATGAGGAATGCATCAAAGAAAAGGAGGGAACTGGGGTTTTATAGAGGCAGGTAAACAAGGGAGTCATCATGAGGAAGGCTGGAGAGGGTCTTATCTGAGTCAGTGAGGAAGAGTGGAAGGGGGTCTTCTCTTGGAATATTCTAGAACAGGATCGTCCTTTGAAGTTGGCTGTTTTCAGAGCTCAAAATGGGGTGAGGAGGGACACAAAGCAGGGGAGGCATTTCTTGACTGTAGCTGCTTTCCAGAAGTACAAGGTTCAGATAAAGTTCAACATGTCAAGGTGTTGAGGGGAGGTGGAAGAAAGAGAAAAAGGAGCCCTGCCCCCCTCCAGCACTGCCCTACACACACATAGAGAGACCTTCTGAAAGCTGGGTCAGGTCTTGACCCACCACCCTTTCAGCTGCCTGATATCCCTCTTTTTCTCCACGGAATCACAATCTAGGGCTGCATAGCTCCAAGGTGGGGCCCATTCATGTGCAAAGTGAGCTGTGAATTCTAGAGTTCTGGTTGAAGTCAAACAGGAGCACCTTAAAGCCTGATGCTCCCCACCCCATGAAGGAGGTTCCAAGGTAGAATCTTGGCCCCATCCTTTCCCTCCCTTCCACCCTGCAATTCCCCCCCCACACCTTTTTTTTTTTAATTGATTTACAATATTGTGTTAGTACCACCCTTCAGTTCTAAACCTTGATATTCCATTTAAATCTACCCTCATCCAAACCTAGGACACAAAGCAGGGCCTAACATCAGCCCTCCCCGAACCAGGTAGACCATTCCTCCCTCCTCAGAGATCCAGGTTGAGCCTTGGGGTTGGGCCCATCTTCAGCCCTAAAGTTGCAGCTGACCTGGCCCCACCCCCCTCCATTTCCAGTTCTCCCAGCAGAGCCTGGAGCATAGAAGGGGACAGTAGCTCCAACACTAATTGGCCAACTATTTTCCAGTGGCAACTTACAAATTCTGACCTCCCAACAAGCCACAGTATTAGTTAAGAAATTCATATTTGGGTTTTTCACTTAGTTACTTGCTTAGTTAGTGTGACTTACCTTCCCCAATCTGTCAATCCATCAGTGAATTAATAAAAACCAATATCCTAAGGACCAGATCTTAGATCTGTGATGGCTCGATGAAGTGGGAGAACTCTTACGAATTAGGGACCGCCTCTAGGCACCCAGATGCCTGCTTGTCACAGAGTTGGGAAAGAAGCGTCACCAAGAATTACAGAATATGGGTGGGGGGAGGAGGACTTTGGCATGTTTGAGTTGGGATGAAAACATCTGCCCTTTTGAAACCCTGCTCTACTGTATGACCTTGGGCAAATTACATAATCTCTCTGAACCTCAAATTCTCTACCTGTAGATTCGGTGTGATGAAACCTACCACACTTGATTGTTGACAGCATTAAACTAAAGGATGGATAAAGGATGCACATGCACCTTGCTGACTCCAGAGTTCTATAAGTATACAGATTAGTATTGTTTGTAAAGCTTTGCTATGGCTTGCTCACTTGTGTTCTGGACTGTGTTCTGGGAAAGTGGGTTTGGTCCCTTTGAAAGAAAGTACCTCTGTTAGAAGTAGGTTTATCAATGAAGTAGGAACCACTGGGTTATTTGAGGATATTGTTCAGGGATCTGGGGTGCAGAGTGGAAGTGTGTAATGTGCAAATCTTATCACTGGGGTTTCTAATTAGAAATACAACAAGCTATAGCTTTGAAGGTCAAACAGCTAAGTAAAGTCTTTGTTGGGTATAATTTTCCTCACTCTCCTTCTTCCTGTGGAAAATGAACAGATGGAGTAGCCCTGAGCTCTCCAGGAGTTAGATGTGTAGGGGAGTGCATGGATACAGCTGAGCTACAGCTACGACAGAAGCCATGGGAGGGGGTGGGTGAGGAGGGAAATTCTCATTCTGTGCAGAGAATTCAGAGCCCATTTTCTGCCAGGAATGGCAGGCTCTTCAGGATGAGTGGATGCCATGGAGTCAAGGGAAGCCATCCTGTGGCTTCGGAAATTAACCTGGCCCGAAGTCTTAAGCCAGCCTGATGATGGCTATTTCCAAAGTCAGATGGAGGGTTGTTGGCTCTGGGAGAGAGAGCCAAGAAGTCAAGGTTAGACTACACACTAAAAGACAAAAACTGAAGATTCATGTGTAAGAAGCCCAATTATAAAGACGTGGCTTTATTTCTTTAAATCATACTCCACTTGGAATTTCTTTAAACAACTAGACTCATGCACGGCTGTTTTATAATAAAAATTTCTATTTTCTGTCATGAAAACTCTTATGATGTCCCTTGGATTCAACATTTGTCAATGAAAATGACAGCTTGGAAAGCATTGGTAGTACACAGGTTTGGGTTTCAATACATGGCTCTGTTGACCTTGCCTAGTGGTATGACCGTGGGCAAGTCATGTAACCTCTTTGGGACCTGGTTTTTCTACCTGTAAAAGGAGAATAATAATAACACCTACCTCACAAAATTGCTATAAATATTTAAATGAGGAAAGGTGTGGAAAGCACAGTGTTTGGCACATAGCACTGAATAAATGGGAGGTAATTTTTATTAATTGTTACCTGTCCCTTCACACCTTAATTACAATGGCAGCTTCTTTGCTGGACTCACTCCTACCCCATTTCCCAAAACACACTGACCAAATTTTAGTTTCCATTACATCACTTCCCCAATGAGAATCTTTGTTCCTCCCTGATAGGATTAAGACAGAACTCTTTAGTGTATAGGCCAATGTCAGGAGTTTAGCTCTTACTTTAAAAGAAACTGAGCTTCTGGAAGGTTTGGATCAGAAGAGGTT